TTCCTCGCCACGTCTGCTGCTGAGAGTTGTGTGATGAGGTCCCGTGTCGTTTTGAGCTGCGTCAGGAGCGAGTCTGACGGATTTTGTTTATGTAGGGTTTCAAGTCTTGTTAAGTCAGCCAGGGCGTCTACCATTTTCCGTAGGCGTTGCTTTTTGAGGGCCGTGGCTATTGCTATTAGGTGTCCTCTGATCGTTGCTTTATGGGCTGCCCAAACCGTTGTCGGCGCCATGTCGTCGGTGGCGTTGAGTTCAAAGTAGGTTTTAAGGTTTTCCGACACTGTGTGGACCGTGGCCGCGTCTTTGAGTATCCATGGGTTGAGTTTCCATCGCCACGGGCGCGCCCTTAGTGGGATCTGTATCGTCAGAGCGACTTCCGCATGATCGGACCACGCAATGTTTCCAATGTGTGTGTGAATGGTCCAGGGCTGGACGGCTGGGGATATGAGGAAACTATCGATACGGGAGTATGACTTGTGTGCGTGGGAGTAGAAGGTAAAGTCCGCGGCGGTCGGGTGTTGGAATCTCCAGGCATCCAGTAAAGGGGTTTCCAGTAGAAAATCTGCATATAATTTGTCGTTCCTGGTCGAGGAGGGTGCGCTACCGGACTGAGATCTGCGGTCTATGGCAGGCGTGTGGGTCGCGTTTATGTCTCCTCCTATGATTAGGTGTTTGGCTGAGAGGCTAGTGAGGTGGGTCTTAAATGTGTTCCAGAATGTTGCATCCGGGTTGGTAGGGGCATACAGGGAGCATATTGTTAGTGTAGTCGTGCCCGCTCGTCCTGTGAGGAAGAGGAATCTCCCTGAGGGGTCTTTGCGGGTTTGTATATCATCCAGAGGGCACGAGTTTCGCAGCAATATTGCAACTCCTTTCGTTTTTGCTTCTGGCGAGTTGGCCAAATAATATCTCTTATAGTGCCTATTAAGTAGCGGGAACTGTTTGTGATCGGTGAAGTGGGTTTCCTGAAGTAGGACGACGTCCGCTCCCGTGCGGTGGGCCCAACGTAGTATCCCATGTCTTTTCCCTGGCGAGTTGAGTCCTTTGACGTTGAGGGAAATGAAGCGGATTTGGAGGTTCCGCGGTGCCATGCTGGTGCGTGGGGGTGGTCACGATCCGGCAGTGGTGCGAGGGGCGCCGGTTAGCTAGGCGTCCGTTCGGGGTGCGTTGGGCAGTCGAGTCTGGGTGGGGTCGGCAGGGGTGGTGGAGGGTGGTAGCAGGGGTGGGTTAGTAGGGTCCCGCCCGCGCGGGTCTTTCGGGTCGCCGCTGACGCCCTGCGGGGGCGGTGTGTGAGGGACTGGGCTTATCAAACTGGCCAGTCGAGGTTAGGCGGGGGCCTCGGTTGTCCGTCCCAAGGTCCGCGCGGCAGTCCTCGGGAGTATCGAGGCCGGTGGGAAGGGGTGTACACAAGTGGTGGCAGGTTCCGCCCACGGCCTGCCCATGGTCCTGTTGCTGTGGCTGAGCCTGGGGTTGGATGGGGGGGATGGGTGGTGTATGAGGGCTTTTGTGTGTGTGTCCCGTCGTGTGGCGGGCGTGTGCATTCTCTTCGTGAGGCGGGTGTATCAAAAATTCTGGGTGGTGTACCCGCCGGATATCGCTATCCCTGTATGTGTGTGTGTCAGGTGTCCCTTTGTGTGTGGGTCCTGCGTGCGCGTATATCCCTATTTTGGGGTGCGTATGCATGCCATAGGGACGAGTTCTGTCCTATTAAAGCTCTGATTTGCCAGTAGGGTGTGTCCGGAAGGGGCAGTGGAGGGGTGACCTCATGTCGTGGGTGGTGGTGAGATGGCCTGGAGTGTGGGTTGTCTATTGCGGCCTTATCGGCTCTCAAGAGGGCCTGGTTGTGCCTCCGCGGTCTGAGGTTCAGAGTGTGTGTCGTGGTCTGTGGGAGCGGGTAACAGCCGGTTCCTGTGTAAAACATGCATACATTTACAATGCAACATTATAACGTTATAACATTTGAACAAATTGTTAATGCCTTGAGCAGAGGTATCAAAAAAAAAAAAAGGAAGGGGGGGTCAGAGGGAGCAGTGGTCTGAGCTGGTGCTCTCTATCACATGTAGGAATTGTCCCGTAGGTCCACGGTTTATCCAAAGAGCGGTCGTGTGCGTCTATACCTAGTCTGCGGTTCGGCGTCCGGTCAACTGGTTAGGGGTCGGTCTGCCTTTGATCAGGGTGTGTGTGAGGCCTGGGAGCAGGTGGGGCAGTGTTGTGTGTGGTTGCTGCCGGCTAGTCGTGCTTGATGTGGGCATGCGCTGTGCATGTGATGGTGGTGCTTGTCCCTTGTCCGTGAGTCATGTGTGTGGAGCGTCCCTGGCTCCTTGCCCCGTCGGGCATGTGTAGGGCTAGTGGGGCCATGGTATCGGTCATGTGCCTGTTGTCGGGAGGTCGGGGTTGGGGGGGTCAGCGGTTGCTGCCGGTGTATGGTCTCCGTCAGTCAGAGTGCGGGGTGCAGGTCATGCCGGAGGGGCGGGTTTGTCGGTCCCCCGTCGCCCCGTCATTCCCGTCACACCCCCTCCCCCCCGGAACTCCCCCCCCATCCCAACTTCTGGGTCCCTCGCCCGCCCCGTTGGAGGTTGTCTGTGGGCGATAAGCGCTTCACAGGATGTTTAGGGGATCGTGTGTATGCTGCCCCCTTTAAACCATACTTGCGGTGTGCGGCCCAATGTCCAAGGCATAGAGTCTCATGGTGATGGGGTCCTGTGGTGGTAGGTGCCCGGGAGGGGGGTGCCGGAGAGGAGAGTCTTGTCAGGCGGGGAGGCAATTTCGCCCGTCAGTTGATGCCTTCTCCCGTTCATGTCAATCGGCGTGTCGGGGGGATTGTCTCTGTGCATGTTCCTCGGTGCTGGAAACTTTGGTGTAGCCTGTGATGGTGTGGCCTTGAGGATATGTTCCTGTGGTGCCGCTGGGAGTCCGGGCGATGTCGGGTGTGCTCTGGGGCTGGAGCCGGGGGTAGGCTCGGCGTTGGGGTGTTGTCGCCGAGCTCGCCGGGGCCTGTCCATGCTGGTGCGTCTTCCGCCCTTTGGTTGTGGTCAGGGTCGTTCTGTGCTGTCTGAGTGGTCTAAGTGGTGCTGGTTTCCCCGGATCCGGAGTGAGCGCCTTCTGTGCAGCGATGCAACTGTATAATATGTCTGTGCTTGTCGCTGGCTGTTGGTGGGTCCGGCGGGGCATAGGGGAGCCGGTGAGACAAGGCAAGCTGGGGTGAGAGTGGGGTGTAGGGGACGCGGGGTCGGATAGATGTGTCAACGCCACCGTCCCCCCAACCCTCAGGTTCTCCTAACGTGTTGCGCCTGGATTCTGCAGTGCCGTGTTGCGATGGGGACGGTCACCGGTCCTGGCGGGCGGGTTATTGCTCGGTGGTTGTCGTGCTGAGGATTCGGCGTTGGAGTGAGGTGTTTCTGGGATTTGCGGTAAGTTCAGCTGGGTCAGAAGCGCAGGGATTTCTTCCGGTCTTGTGAGGGAGTGGAACCTGCCATCTTTGCGTATAATTATTTTGAAAGGGTGACCCCACGCGTAGCGGAGGCCGTGGCTGCTTAGGTGTTGTGTGAGTGGGCGTAGTTCTCTTCGGCGTTTCAAGGTGGTGGGAGCCAGGTCTTGATATAGTTGTACTGGCGCTCCCTCTACCTCGATGGGGGTATCCCTGGCTGCGCGCATTATGCGCTCCTTGATGTGATAGAAGTGGAGGCGCACCACTATGTCCCTGGGTACGGCAGCGTTGGTGCTTGGGGCTCTGAGGGCTCGGTGTGCCCGGTCCATCAGTAGGTCAGCTGTTGTAGCCTCCGGTAGGAGGTGTTGAAATGCCTCCGTGAGGGTGTCAGTGAGTAGGTCGGGCGACACCGATTCAGGGACGCCCCTGACCCTGATATTGTTCCTACGTGTTCTATTATTTAGGTCTTCGTTGGTGTCTTCGAGGGAGCGTAATTGATCTCTCAGGTGCAGTATTTCACTGCCATGGGCCTGCACGATCTCCTCTGTGTCCGCCATTTTGGCCTCTGCGGCCTGTGCACGGGCTGACAGGTCTGCCATACCTTCTAGTATGGGGCAAAGACGTTTGTCCAGTTCTACGGCCACAGATTGTTTGAAGTCAGCCAGGAAGCCCTGCATGTCCCTCCTCGTCAGCGGTGCCTCCGTCCTCTCCGAGGGTGCCTGGCTGCTCATTTCGGAGTCTGAGTCCGACGGGAGGGGCTCCAAAGATGGCGCCCGCTGTTGTTCAGGCTTGTGCCTGAAGATCGGTGCAACGGAGGAGTTGCGGGCTTTCTTCCCTCCGCCCATGGGGAGGGTGAGTGTGGGTATAGGGGGGGGGGGACGTGGGGTGTTTTCGGGGCTCAGGTGCTGCTGATAGCGGTGGTTTCAGGCTAGGCCGCGGCGGAGCTCAGAGTTTATGCGGCCATTCACTCGCTGGGTTAGGCTCCGCCTCCGAAAATGTTGGATTTTATCTTCTGATTTTTGTATAGTTTCTGCAGAACATACTTTGTAATAATTTATTCTCCACTCTACCACTGAATTGCAGGTTGTTCTTCACTTTACAGTAGACCGGGGCATGGTCAGACCAGCTTATATTACCAATAGAAGAGGAAGTACAACATTCCAGACAGTCAAACTTCATAAAAAGAAAAAAATCAATCTTGAATACGATAGATGTCTACTGGGAAAAAAAAAGTATAATCTCTTTGCAGTGGATGCTGCGTTCCCCACAAATCATAGTTTATTTTTTTTTAAATTTTCTTTTATTTATTTTTTACATTTTTTATTTTTGCAGTGCACGAAAATGTTACAGGCAGGTCTGAGGTGCCCCAAGAGCAGTCCTCAGGCACTTTCCTCCGCTTGACATGCGGGACATATGTTTATCAGGCACATTTTTCATATATATAAGCATGCTTAGTGATTTAGGTCATTCTTTAGGCTAACAAGGGTTAAAGGACCACTCTAGGCACCCAGACCACTTCAGCTTAATGAAGTGGTCTGGGTGCCTGGTCCAGCTAGGGTTAACCCATTTTTTTATAAACATAGCAGTTTCAGAGAAATTGCTATGTTTATAAATAGGTTAATCGAGCCTCTAGTGGCTGTCTCTTGACAGCTGCTAGAGGCGCTTGCGTGCTTCTCACTGTGAAAATCACAGTGGGAAGACGCAAGCGTCCATAGGAAAGCATTATGAATGTTGTCCCAACTATTCACAGGGGAGTATAAACCTCCATGGAATGTACAAGGGGGAATAATACAGGGAAAAACCCTAGTGGATGCAAACAAATCTGTCCCTAGGTAACCTCGGTATCGGAAAATCTATAGTACTACTACAGGAAGCAGGAGACCCTTCATAGAGCTCAATGTAAACCGGGTAGATTCTAGAGGTAAACCTAAAAGGGAGGAGATGTCTTCTCAAATCTGTCCCTAAGTTACCTTGGAACGGCACAAGGCTAGTGCCTACCTGCACCAACTGACCCTAGTGTAGACAAAAGAGAAAACTAAAACAAAACTCAAAAATTAATAAGTGCTCATAGTGCTACCAAACTGGAAATAAAAGTGCTAAGAGCCAAAAAGCCTGACGCGCGTTTTGGCACGCTCACATGCTGTTGTCAGGGGCAAAGTGAGTGAATAAGCCTTGTAAGTGTGTTTTATACCTTACTAATCAGCAATCTATGTTGGCTCAGATACAGCTGCAAGGATGGGAGGTATGTCATATGTGCCGCCTCTAAAGGGGCAGAGGTATGACATGTATCATTGAGGATGAGATGGGAAACGAGTCTGGGTGTATCACATGTATCTATACACCAATTGGATTTGAGGGGGCAGAGATTGTATAACAACAGTTTTAGAGAGGTTTATGAATGTACTGCTTCCTAAGGGGCAAATTTACAACCAAAAGTGTAGGGCAGAGCTTATGTTACAGTAGCATGACACTACTCTAATGTGAAGTGCATGAGAGAATATAATTTAATCTCGCCTGTATGTAATAAAGAAGGATCTAGTTCCCAGAATGGAGCTAGAGTGTGTATAGGGGGACAACCAAGGGGGTAGCCCTCCAGTTATATGTGAATAAAGAGAAAGTAGCCTCAGGTAAAGACCCAGGCTGCCTTAAAGGAGGATGCCCCCACCCCTTAAATTAGCGTATATTAAAAATATGGAACTTTATTTCAACAACTTAAAAATAAAGAAAGAAAGATACTAGACATAGAAAATAAATAAATAAAACTGGACCATGTAGAAAACCAAATTCTATTTGTATAGGCGGTGTTACACGTTGATGGCGTATAATTGCTAGGGTTACAGGGTATTATAACCCTTCTACCAACTTATACCGCTAAATGCAGAGAGAGAGCGTCATATATGGAGGGATGTCACCCATACAAGTCATCAGCAGTACACTGACTATATATATATATATATACAGGGAGTGCAGAATTATTAGGCAAGTTGTATTTTTGAGGATTAATTTTATTATTGAACAACAACCATGTTCTCAATGAACCCAAAAAACTCATTAATATCAAAGCTGAATATTTTTGGAAGTAGTTTTTAGTTTGTTTTTAGTTATAGCTATGTTAGGGGGATATCTGTGTGTGCAGGTGACTATTACTGTGCATAATTATTAGGCAACTTAACAAAAAACAAATATATACCCATTCAATTATTTATTATTACCAGTGAAACCAATATAACATCTCAACATTCACAAATATACATTTCTGACATTCAAAAACAAAACAAAAACAAATCAGTGACCAATATAGCCACCTTTCTTTGCAAGGACACTCAAAAGCCTGCCATCCATGGATTCTGTCAGTGTTTTGATCTGTTCACCATCAACATTGCGTGCAGCAGCAACCACAGCCTCCCAGACACTGTTCAGAGAGGTGTACTGTTTTCCCTCCTTGTAAATCTCACATTTGATGATGGACCACAGGTTCTCAATGGGGTTCAGATCAGGTGAACAAGGAGGCCATGTCATGAGATTTTCTTCTTTTATACCCTTTCTTGCCAGCCACGCTGTGGAGTACTTGGACGCGTGTGATGGAGCATTGTCCTGCATGAAAATCATGTTTTTCTTGAAGGATGCAGACTTCTTCCTGTACCACTGCTTGAAGAAGGTGTCTTCCAGGAACTGGCAGTAGGACTGGGAGTTGAGCTTGACTCCATCCTCAACCCGAAAAGGCCCCACAAGCTCATCTTTGATGATACCAGCCCAAACCAGTACTCCACCTCCACCTTGCTGGCGTCTGAGTCGGACTGGAGCTCTCTGCCCTTTACCAATCCAGCCACGGGCCCATCCATCTGGCCCATCAAGACTCACTCTCATTTCATCAGTCCATAAAACCTTAGAAAAATCAGTCTTGAGATATTTCTTGGCCCAGTCTTGACGTTTCAGCTTGTGTGTCTTGTTCAGTGGTGGTCGTCTTTCAGCCTTTCTTACCTTGGCCATGTCTCTGAGTATTGCACACCTTGTGCTTTTGGGCACTCCAGTGATGTTGCAGCTCTGAAATATGGCCAAACTGGTGGCAAGTGGCATCGTGGCAGCTGCACGCTTGACTTTTCTCAGTTCATGGGCAGTTATTTTGCGCCTTGGTTTTTCCACACGCTTCTTGCGACCCTGTTGACTATTTTGAATGAAACGCTTGATTGTTCGATGATCACGCTTCAGAAGCTTTGCAATTTTAAGAGTGCTGCATCCCTCTGCAAGATATCTCACTATTTTTGACTTTTCTGAGCCTGTCAAGTCCTTCTTTGACCCATTTTGCCAAAGGAAAGGAAGTTGCCTAATAATTATGCACACCTGATATAGGGTGTTGATGTCATTAGACCACACCCCTTCTCATTACAGAGATGCACATCACCTAATATGCTTAATTGGTAGTAGGTTTTCGAGCCTATACAGCTTGGAGTAAGACAACATGCATAAAGAGGATGATGTGGTCAAAATACTCATTTGCCTAATAATTCTGCACTCCCTGTATATATGCTAAAGTTTTAGGGTGTTGCAACCACCATTCCCATAAAACATATGCAGTATAAATGTCTATATGAGACGTCTATATAATGGAAATCTAATATATTACAGAGAGGAAACCGATCTATCCCAGCACCTAAACTTCCTGGATAGTAAAATGAACGGATACAATTGCTATGTTGTGCTGTTGTAGCAAAAAATGTAGCTAGGGAACTGCTTGAGAACGCTTGACGTCTGTTTCACCCGAGAAATGTATCACTAAACATTTGGTACACTATCTCTATGTCTATGGCTGCAGAGTAATAAGGTTGGAAGGTAGCTAACGTCCCTGCAAGTTGAACGCTAGTTTTTCAAATTGAGATCCAGATTTGTGAGAATAACCTCTCACATAGTACCCCACAGCAAGCCCCCCACCATAATAGAAGTGTCTAAGTGATTATGTGCAGTGATTTTAAAATAAAAGTAGGAAAGCCTGACGCGCGTTTCGGCGCTTCTATAGTGCCGTCGTCTGAGGCATTTTATGTTTTGGCGCTTCTATAGCGCCTTCGTCTGAGGCATTTTATGTTTTCGGCGCGTCAGGCTTTTCTATTTTTATTTTAAAATAACAATATATAGAGTGTTTACATGTTAATTGTGTTCCACAATTGATTCAAAATGGTTGAAATATATACACAGGGGGCGACCTTAAATAAATGGCAGGAATGAAAACCCTTCATTCACTCTGTTTGGTGATAACTTTTTGAGTCTGTATATCCAGTAGGCTTCCCTCTGGCGTAATTTAATATCCCAATTGCCTTTCTGAGGCGGTTGTGGTATTGATTCGATCCCCATAAACCTATAAAAACATTTTGACAGTTTTTAAGAATACAACTTACTTGTCTTGCCTTAACACTTGTCCAAAACAATCCCTGTTCCATATTGCATTGAAAGAGTATTTGTTCTCTTATCTGTGGCCACTGAATCTCATCTGTTTTGCCCCAATTTCTAGCTATTATTATTTTAGTGAGACAAAAAAATGAAATGTTAACAGGGAACGTTTTTTGTTTAGCGTTGACCATTTCAAATGTAACAAAACAATTTCAGATTTTATGTCAATAGTAACGTTACCAATAAAGTAAAGTACAGTTTTTCATAAACCAATTCCCACATTTTTTAAAATTATATCACAATTCCACCAAATGCGAAGATAGTCCTCTTCTGCTCTGCCACATCTCCAACATTTGGGACATATGCGAAAATTTTGCCAGTCTGGTTGGTACATAATACCAAAATTGTATAAGTTTAAATTGATTCATTATATCTTTTAATTGCCTCAAGCTATTTGTCTGGGTTAAATTCCATGTGCAACAGTTTACCCCATTTTTTTGATTATTATCATCATATTTCAGACTTAAACAGCTATATACTTTAGACATTATTTTTGTTACTTTGTCTTCCAAATATTTCTTCTAGCTTTTTTATCAAGATATTATTGTTGAAAATAGAAGCGTTCAAAAAACGTTTTGCCCTTAGATAAGAGAAAATTTCTCTATCGTTCAATCCAAATTCCTGTACTAGCTGAGAGAAATTCTTAATTAAATTGCCAAAATAACTGTTGTTTAATATTAATTATACCTGCTTTTCTCCAAACGTCTAATTTTAAATCTTGTACATTGGCCTCCACAACATTAATATTTAAATTACCTAATATTTGTTTCTGTATTCCTAATCTTTTCTTTATTTGCCACCACACATTTAATGAATTAATTTAAAGGACCACTATAGTGCCAGGAAAACATACTCGTTTTCCTGGCTCTATAGTGCCCTGAGGGTGCCCCCACCCTCAGGGTCCCCCTCCCTTACCTCTTTCTCCAACGCCGGGCTGGGAACTCTCCTCCTCCTCTTCTTCTCTTCGTCTGAATGCGCATGCGCGGCAGAAGCCGCGCGCGCATTCAGCCAGTCCATAGGAAAGCATTCTCAGTGCTTTCCTATAAACGCTGGCGTCTTCTCACTGTGAAAATCACAATGAGAAGCGCCTCTAGCGGCTGTCAATGAGACAGCCACTAGAGACTGGATTAACCCTAATATAAACATAGCAGTTTCTCTGAAACTGCTATGTTTATAGAAAAAAGAGTTAACCCTAGATGGACCTGGCACCCAGACCACTTCATTAAGCTGAAGTGGTTTGGGTGCCTATAGTGGTCCTTTAATTTATGCCTACTTAATTTAGGCATTTTATTTCTGTGGTAAGAAATATCCCAGATGGCATAATACGGCTCCTTAGAACCAATAAGCTGTTTCTCAATTTTGTACCATATTTCAGATTCTATATTTGGTTCTTGTGTCATATACATGTGTCCTATGATATTAGCTTGGTAATAATCTTTACCATAGGAAAACCATGGCCACCTTTT